GTGAGATAACAGAAGTTCGAGATAACTATGTCGACTGCATACATAGCTACCCGACCGCCCTGTATTGTGTTACAGAATCTGTGCTTACTAACCCACAGACCTTCTAGAAAGAAGGAAAAAAGAAGAGAGGCGTCATTGGGCCCACTGGTTACGATCGGAGGCTCTGCCCAAGAAGCAATGGTATAGAGGAAGAGACGAAGACATAGTTGAGAGATGAGTATTCTGCTGATAATCGAGTAATTAGCGACAAGTCAACATCCCTCAAGATACTCACCAAAATTCAAATATACCTGCTAGTGTACCCAAGACCAAGATTACTTGAGGATCATCCCGTCCCGCCCCAAGGCCTTCTGGAAGGAGGAAAGAAGCCCCTTCCCCGTGTTCGCCCCTCCACTTGTCCTCAGCTTTGGGTGTTTTTGCTCTTTTTACCAACTTCTTTATTTCACTTCCCTTTTCATCTTTTCTTTGTTTATCTCACCGCTACACGCTACACGCATACACCACACCATGTCGAATTGACGTCCTTTCCCGCCTCTCCCTTTTGTGTTCTTTCACCAATTGAACCCCCTTCGTCCTCGACAAACTCACGTGTCGCTCTCATCCCATCGCTCGTCCGAATCCGACTCCGGGGTAGAAAAAGTGGGTTGCGCGCTCGATCTGTCTAGTGCGACAAGTCTAGGACAAGTCTAGGCTCTGGGGGTTGTCTCGGATCCTCCAGTCCATAACGCGACTCGGACTGCCTCGCTGCAGGAGACAACTCCATTGTTCGATTCGGTGACCTGAGAGCGTGCTTGCCGACTCCTGCCATTCCTTCCCCGACTTTCTTTGTGCCGATTCAATCGGATCTTTCCCGACCTCCCATCACCCTCATTCCAGCCGCTCGTTTTTTTCTTTTCCCTTTTCACCTCTCATAACCGTGCTCGTCACTCGTACCTTCTACCATTCCCCTGGTCTTCGTCATCAGAGCCATATGCGAGCCAGGACCGCTCCGACCGACTCCTTTCCTTTTTCTTCACTCCGATTGAGTTCTTGTCGGTCTTCTGATTCCAGCAAGCCCTGATCGGGGGTCGTTCTCAACCTTCTAACATCATGGTGGACCGCGTGGATTGCGCGGGCCTGTACATTGACGACCGAGTGCGGTCGGAGAGATGGGTGCGCAGGAATTCCATCGATACTTCAACCATCTCGTGCGCGGGTTCCTTCGCGACACCCGAAGAACCGGAGGCCCTGCAAGCCGATGTGGAGCAGCTGTTGTTGGTGTGCAAACAAGGTAGGTTCTACAGACTTGCATTGCGTTCGATGATTTGCTAATTACTCCCGGGTTTTGCAGTCTATCTCTGCCACAACGGCTCCTCCTTTGCGACGAAACTGGCCGAGCTCAGCGACCGGGCGGGTAGCGAATGCAACCCGATTTTCGCATTCTTCGAGGTTGACTTCAGCGGCGAAGAGTCGAACTTGGCTCGTCGAAAAGCCAGTCGCGCTTCATGGGCCGACAATGCTCCTCCTTCGCCGGGCTCCATCCACCGCACTTTCACGTTTTCAACGCAGTCCGACGAAGCACGGGGGCTGTCCCTTCTGTCCGGTGTCTCAAACGATATTCAAGCCCAAGAAGGGCCAAATTTGGTCATCCCCATTGCTATTTTGCGCCTTCCTACTCCCGATGCCCCTAACCATGCGTCTGTCGGCCCTACCAGTCAACCGGATTCTCAAGGACCTCTTACGGTGGAGCACAAGCAAATTGCCCGCTGTCTTGATGCCGGTGCTATGGATGTCTTGACCACCCCGCTAGATCGGTCGCGGATCCAAGGGCTTGTGGTTCATGCCTACCGCACCCGTAAAGCGGCTCAGAGAGAGATGTCCCGGTTCCTCGCACGGAGAAAGCAACGAAAGCTTTCTTGGGTCGGCGTGCATGATGAGCAGCCATATTCTTATCTACGAGAAGCCATGGTTTCAAAGCTCATGAAAGGGATTTGCAACCCAGAAGAAGTCATACATGATGAATTCCAAGAGCTGGATCTCAACGTTGATCCCGCGCGTATCCCTTTTGTCAGAAAAGAGGTAGGCAGTTGGAATTTCTGCGCTCACGAGTTCACTGAGGACGAACTGGTCTTTGGCGCTTGTGAGATGATACAACATGCTTTCACTATGCCAGGACTGGACCCCTGGCGATTGACCCCCGATGAACTGCAAACTTTCCTTCTCAGCTGCCGCGCCGCCTATAACTCCTTCGTGCTTTACCACAATTTCCGCCATGCGATTGATGTACTGCAATCCGTCTTTTGCTTCCTGCTCCGCATTGGTGCATTGCCTCCATATCAATCAATTGGTCAATCTCCTGTCCCCGAAACTCCCATCACCTCCCTTCTCACGCCATTCGACGCCCTTACCCTCCTTATCTCGGCCATTGGTCATGACGTTGGCCACCCAGGCGTCAACAATTTTTTCCTCGTCAAACTCAACGCACCTCTTGCTCAACTCTACAATGACAATTCCGTCTTGGAAGCGTTCCATTGCGCCGCCTTTTCCCAGATTTTGCGTCGGCACTGGCCTGCCGCATTCAAGGACAATCAGCTGCGAAAGCTCCTTATCAGTTCTATCCTGGCCACAGATATGGGTGTGCACCAGAAGTTCATGCAGCGAATGGGCTCATTCCAAGAAAAGTTCTACGAAAACAACCAATCTGTTGATGGCTGGAAGCCTCAAGATGTCGACATGTACAAGACTCTCATTTGTGGATTACTGATCAAATGTGCCGACATCAGTAACGTGGCTCGACCGTGGAAAGTTGCAATGAAGTGGACGCAAATCCTGCAAGAGGAATTTGCCAACCAGGGCGAGATGGAAAGGGAGGTTGGAATGGAAACCGCACTGTTTGGCGGGCCGCCCGAATTAGGGAACATCTACAAACTGGCTACTGGTCAAATTGGATTCATGTCGATATTCGCCCTGCCACTCTTTGAAGGCATTTCCGACCTTCTGCCCCAGTTGCAGTTCGCTACGGACCATATCCTTCGCAATCAGGCACGGTGGCAAGAACTTGCTAACGAAGAGCTGAAGAAGCAAGGTCTTCCAATTGAGAAACGGGCCGAGGTCACTGTTTCGCCTCGCTCCCGTAGCCCTGCAGCTTCTGACAAGCAGCTCTTCAATCCAGGAGATGGCGCAGCGGATAGAGTCAAATATCCAGATGATGGATACAACGAAAACACCATTGAACCAGTTGTGTCGCCAGATACTTCAGGTCCTCAGATCGAGATTACAGGAAGTCCCCTGGCGCCGGTGGCTGAATTTTCATCACGGAAATCTTCTAATGCCATCCCGGACCTTTCTTGTTTCTCCATCCCAGGAGCCCCGGAGTCTGCCCATGGGTCCATCTCGACACAGCTTCATAGCCCTCTCACAGAAGCAAGCCCCGTTACCGACGATCCTGCTATTTTAGCCGCCGTCTTGTATGCCAACTCGGCTCTCGGTAATGGGAATTCGCCAGTGGGGCGTGGCCATACTTTCGGGGCTGCCGAGAGACCAAGCAGCTCCCGCCAAGGTCTTTCACATGGTTCTCAACGCGACTCCGAACGCCACCATGCGCAGCACAGCTCCTCTGCCCGCACGGGCTCTAATCGCAATAGTTGTACACGGACGCAAAGCACTTACAGCAACACCATGACACCTATATCTCCCGCAACTAATGCCTCGAGCTTTTTAGCCGTGGATAGCGGCGACGAAAAGCGAGGCTCCGGGGAAAGTGCCGCGCCAAGTGATATTGGAGGACCTGAGGACAATAGCACACGTCCCAGCACAGCGGACGTGTATCCTTCAGGTTTAACAGCAGGCGGTTTCAGCCCCGGTCGCGACTCTATCGCTCGTAGTCAAGCTCGATCCGAAGATGGCACCAGCAAAGACTTCTCCAGGCTGGGAGCCCCTGGGACCCGCAGCACGACTCATTCAACGACTACTGGCGAAAGCATCAAAAATGAAGCTCCTCCAGCGGATGACTCTCATGGTCATCATAGACTTCCTAAGCGGAGGAGTCGGCTTCGACTTGCTTTTTGGAAGCGTCGTAACCATTCGCACGAGGTCCCCGGTGAGACATGAATCTTGCTGTCCTGGTTGGTGCTTTTAGGCTTGAACAACCTCTAGCTGTGTATAATGCTGCCATGGTCTTATGAACATTTCATTCTCCAATGAGGCTTGAGACCACACTGGTGTTCCATGAATTCACGACTCGACCAGTCGAAGAACCCGATCAATGGGTTTTCTTTTCCCGCCGCATTGGCTCTCCTGGTCACGACTCTACGAAGTCGATCACGATACCTTCTTACCTTCTGCTGGACGTCCGAGGTTGTCTCGGACACGAAAGCAAATGCAAAACTTGTCTGAGCAATTACAGCATCAAGACAAGATAAGTTGCATGTTTTACTCTACTCTCCTCCCTCGGGGCTGAGAGTCACGCTTTTATCATATAGTCCTCTCAATGGATACTGGGATTGGTGTCCCGCTACATCTAGCATCTGATTATTTGCATCGGGCTCGCCCACCTACTTCTGTGTGATGACCACGAATGTCTGTTTTCTTTCATCCTTACCTTACACCTTCCTTCATCCCTCTTTCTTTTTCCCTTCTACTCCACCATTGTGTGATATTTCGGGGCGGTTATTTCTTATCCTAGAGTTCGGTGATAGGCCGGCGTTTGATCTCCTACTGGGGTTTCTTTGACTCGATATTCGGGATCCTTCGCGATCTTGGATAGTCTTTTTCTCTTTCTCCCCTGTGCTTGATCCTCTTGTGTTTCGTTCTTTTCTCTCTTCTTTTTTTTTTTTTTTACATTGACTCTTGTTAGACTCTTCCGCTCTGCGCGATAATGAATGTGATGTGTATAGTGGCTTGTAATGATTGTAAGATATGTAGTTATGTTCCAAGTAGTATATATGATCCAGCATTTATGCCAACATGATCTAAAAATGAACTCCATGAAGATAGCAAGTCAAAACAATACCCAATACCCCCTACTGACAATCCTCACAATCCGCCTTACCCTTACTCTTTTCCTCCTCTTTCACTTCCTTCTGCTCACCCTGCTGCTTCTTTAACGCCCGATCCGTGTGTCCCAAGTCTCTATCAGGAGCAATAACATTTCGCACAAGTGACTTGAGCGCTTTGACTTCTGAGGGGAGGAAGGAATGGTCAGGACAAGGCTCCCATGCAGTAAATAAGAATGCATAGAAGAATATGCAGTAATAAATGACAAAACCAAAGGAAGAAAACATACCAGGAAAACCCCCATCCCGCTTCCGATCCCACAAAATGCTCTCCTGCGTCGTGATCTCCCCATCATTCATGGTACCATGCCATATCGTCACAGTGAACACGCCGCCGGTTTTCGGAACGAGGGCGACTTCGCCGAGGTCTGTGCTGAATGTTGAGAGAAGTTCTTGGGCGAACTGTTGGTTTCTTATGTTAGTATTGGTTCCGGTTTAGTGAGGTCTGTATATTATGTCCACGGTCACGGTCATGGTTATGTTGGCAGTGACAGTGACGGTGATATCGAGTCTGATATATATGGTATGCAATAGCAAAGTAACGAATCACACTTCACCCCGCCGCAGAAACGATACAACCAAATATCTCTAACATGATAGGTCAAATAGGAAAGATAACAACGTACGTATGCGGCGCGGAGCATCCACCGGCACTGTGTGCAGAACTGGATTGAGATGCGGGGGAGATGGACGTTGGCGGGTGCAATTGTGTCGCTCTTATTGGGGGTTGAGTCTAACGGGGTCAATGCAGATTCGGCCATCATGGACTGTTGGTTTGATGTTGGAGAATGTATTGGGGGCGTTTGGGTGATTGTGGTATGGTCAAGTCGATGTCTCGGGATGGATGGGGATTTGGATGATGTCAGCGGGGATGGGCTGACTTGTGAATATCAAATTACGAAGGTGTATAGTGGCCAACAGTCGGATGCCTGATTTTAATGGTTTTATCGCCTAATTGGGACTAGCTCTTACCAGTTTTAGACCGCCTTTGACACCGCTCAATACCATCTTTTGTAAGTACACATCGAAGAGACGAAAC